CGTTGATCTCATTTAAATTAATGTCTCTTGAGTTCCATCCAAAGGAGCTTCCTAGGAAGTATTGGTTCTCAATGTAGATAAAGTGTTTGGCTCTCCTTATGGCGTTAATGTAAGCGTCTTGTATGCTTCTTTCGATGACGTTATTTTTACCGGTGACAAGTCCTACGCTCGAAGCTTCACGTGGATCCTCTGGGAACCCGTCAACTGCACCGTTATCTATCGACCGGAAAACTTGAACCGTCCAGCCTTCGGTATCGTTCGGTTGTACGATTGGTAGTGGCGGAACCGTGATCTCTGAGAACCGTTCCATCGATACTAGGTACCTTCTACCGTTACCTGTAAGCACACAAAATCAGATTATAATGAATGATCTTTGTTTAAGACACTAATATATTGTTTTGATTTACATGCAACTCTTTCTCACATTAACAAAAATAATTTGATAAGATATATTCTGAAAAAGTATTTGCAAACGCCAGATGCAGACAAAGCTTTTCCTTCCAGTATATGCAATTAATATCAGTTTTTAAAGTTCAGACATTATGTTTATATAGTCTATGTAATATTTCTCATAATTGAAATATAAAAAAAAATCATTTAAAATTTTTTTAAACGTTATTATAACATGTTTTTTCGGGTAAAGTCGTGATAAAATGTAAATTAAAAAACAAACCATTGAAAGCTAGTTTTATTTGTTTCAATACCTTGTTTCATCCATCTCTGTTCAAAATTGTACAAAACATCCCAAGCCGCAGGACCATCCAGCCTGCAGTGAATATCATGCCAAGGCTCACGTGGACCGCCTTTTTTAATCGACGCCCCATCAAAGTTCGGCTGGTGAAAGTCATTAGAATGAATATTGTTCAAAGTACCGAACAAAGGATGCTCCTCAGTATCATACCTCCCATCACAAAGATCAAGTCCTCCAAGAAAACTTACTATCCTTCTCTTCGTTTTCAACCCCTCCACCTCAGCGTCCACCACAATGGTTTTCTGATGGTGAGTAAACATAGCAGCCACACCAAACCCTTGAACAATGCTCTCACCGTTATCCGGGTTCCTCGGACAAAGAACGCAACGCACTTTCGTGTTCTTGAAGTAATCGTAGGTTTCTTGATCATGTGTCATCATCAAACCGTCTCTCTTAAACGCTTCGTTAGACGTTCTATCGTCCCACACAAGCATCAGAACCGTCACGTTTTCTTCAGCTTTCTTCTTCAGCAACTCACCTAGCTTTAGGTTCCCTCCTGGTCTCGGCCGTTTAGGATCTCTAATCAATGTTATGTCGGGGTACACCGACCATCCCGTGATGTATATCAAGTGTTTTGCGTCCCATATCGCATCGAAAATATCTTCCCAACACCGATGATGTATGTAAATCGCTTGCCCTCCCGCGAGAGTAATGTCCGGGTACTCGCCAAGAACATGAGCGTCTTGGTAAAGAGTAACCTTACAACCTTCTCTTTGGTTGAAAAATGCGTTAGGAACTCCTTTATAAGGCGGTGATGATATGATTGCTTTGTTCCAATCTGGGTCGTTTGTTACGCTAGTGAACTTCACACGAACATGGATTTTCGAACCTCCTTGGATAGGGTTCTTGTTCTGGTCTAAGACATCGAGCCATCGGTCCACAGGCTGTCCGGAGATGACTTCAGTGGCAGGTAAGTAAGCTCGGCCGATCAGATTTGCACTGATAGGTTCATCTTCTTTGATTGTGAATATGATTTTGGAGATTGAATGTGCTGCGTAGATGTGGAAAGACTGGAACCATTTAGGGTGACGTCTCATCATGGTACGAGCCACCCTTGATCTGTCTAGGTCGATGGTTGCGTACAGATGTCCTCCTAGTAAATCTGTGCATGCGGTCGCTAGTCTCTTGATTTGGGTTTGAATCTTCTTCCCCGTTGGTTCCTTGTCCCCCTAATAATCATTGTGAGTTTTTATTTCACAAAATATTTCTTATTCGTCAAAATTATATTTTGGTCGCATTTTAATATATATGAAAGATAATAATGTGTTACAAGTATGTTCTCTATTAGTGAAGTAGAGAAAATAGAATGTTGAAAATTTTAAAATATGTATAAATATCAATTAGCATATTGGTTATATATTTAGCTACTAAAATATTTAAGGAAATTATAAGTAATACGATAATATATAATCTACAAATAAGATTTTATAAAGTTATTATCATATTCAAATCGGGACAATGTTGAATATAAATGGTTTACGTACCTTGCCACATAAACCGAATCTTGCACGTTGATGCAACTTATCGATCCTGTATATCTTTATTTCAAGAGTTCCATGAAGCAATAACTGTTCCGCCATATTGTTTTCACCTACAAACTATTCTACTTTCAGTTTAAGTATATATATATGTTTGAAACAATATCGTGGAAAGTAGATTCTTTCTATATTTTCTGATTTTGTGGATGAGTCTATATTACTATAAAAATATAATAATAACAAACCACAAGGAACCAAAATAATCTCCCTTTTGAGGATCTTCTTGAAAATTCTCCAATCCGCTTAGCAGTTATGTAAACATAAAGTTAGAAACAGAATATATAAGGAGAAAAGTTCGAATTTTAAAAATGAAACCTTTGGATTAAGATTGTGGATTACTTGAGGAAACTGCATAGGGATTACTAGAAGAAAGAGGTGAAGTCTCTTAATGGGTTTGAGACAGTATGTCTTCTTAAGTTAAACCTTTTCTTGTAGGCCAAACTTAACACAAGAGAAGTCCAGAACGGAATATGCTTCTTTTGAACATTAATCTGACGACTCGTGTGTACAGTTTCTTGATGTATTAAATATGCAAATGATTCCATTATTATTCTAAATGTTTGTCTACGGAAGAGACCGTTGAACAAGAAATCCTTTATGTCCAGGTAACCAATTTTGCCCTACTTCCAAAATCTCAGTTTTACTGCAGTAATGAAAATGATCTTTCTAATGGGTAGACAAGGAACCCAATTCTTTTTGTTTTTGACGTAATGATACGTATTTCTCACAGGCCTTCTTTTCTATAATCCCATATAAAATTTGGCCTAGTTTTTTCTTATATTCATCTTGAATTTTCCAGGATTTTTAGTAGTTTAACCCTTCAACTTAAGATTAATCAAAAAATAAACCGTTAACTAAAAATCTTGTAAAATAAAACTTCAATTTTAATTAAGTTATTGTATGTTACCTTCCGTTTTAAATACTGTGACAGAGCAAAATGAGCCAAATCAAACTTCAATGCGAGGACGGAGTTTGATTTGGCTCCTTTTGTTATGCTGGTTGTGTGTTTAATCATGTTTCTCTTGTTACTTCCGGGATGTCCGATCTGTGAACTCGCCGGCTTGAGACTCTGGAAAGGTTGTATACCTTTGCCAGTTCAGTGTAATCTCTTGTTCGATCTAATATTAATCTATCAGATGACAAAAAAAAATACTGTGACGGAAGGTGATATATGTTAACGGTCTATAGGTTGAGGGTTTAAAATGTTTAAAACTTAGTTGAGGGGATTTTTTTGCGATTCAAATATAGTTGAAGATTTTTATCACTAATGTTATAAATATTATGTGTTGTCCATTAAGGAAAGTAGTAGATTTACTTGTTCACAACTCCAAGTTCTACTTGGTCACTAAGCTATTGTAAAGCAAATTTCCTTGGAGCCTTGTGCCAGCAAAGTTCCTCTGCCTCTGTGTTCCGAAGATCCTGCTATACCAATCGAGCCTGCAAATTTGTCTGAACGAAATAAACTTATTTTTTGAGAGATGGTTAACTCCAAAGTTTTTCATGTGGGTTGATATGTTCTTGGTGAATTTTTAATCAATTTTACCCGTGTCGTTTGTTGATTTTGTTTCTAATTGTACATGTTTTGCAGGCACCTTGATAATCGATGTTTTCCTTCAACGCCTTCGCCGTCAATCATCATCACTCTAGCCGGTTTGTTCGCTTTCTCTCTTAGGGAGCACAATATGATCTATTCTTGACATACACTGCGATTTCTGTTTCTATTAGATTGAGAAACTCGAGTTGGTGTTGTAGATGAGCAGCAACAGTATTGTCTCAGTTTCTAATCTCTTTCTTATATGCAAAAGGTTAACTTTTTTCCCTTTGATCTCTAATTGCTTCTCTGTCTCTTTGAACAGTTCTGGAAATTGTTTAAGCTCTCTTCATGTAATCTCAAGGTTGATGGTAGGAGGTAAAAATCTTATCTATGTACCTTTGCATTTTTCTGATAATCATTCTGAATCTCGATCTGTATATATAGATATGTATATTGCGCCAGTGTCACAATAGCGAAGTTTGTTTGCAGCGTGTTTGAGGACATGTGTTGATGTTGAGAAAGATTCGCAGATCCAGGTCAGAAACTGAAGATTTTAGTTACTTTTTATCACGAATTTTTTTGGTTATACGCATGTTTTGGTTTGAGTTCATCAGTGATCACTTTGCAACAGTTTGATTATGGTTTTGAATCATCCTATGAACTCATTCATTTCATATACTTAATTGCAGTGTTCCATATATTAGAGTGAAGCAAGACAAGGTGATGTGAAGGCCAAACAAAGGAAGTGAAGGCCAAGCATCTCCACACCAAACTGAAGAAGAAGAGAAGAGTTCAGATACTTGAAGTTGGAGTTTTTCTGTACAGTCTTGACTTCCAAGCAACCAAGCTTGAGCTAGAGTGTCTTGGAAGGCAAGCCAAGTTCAATTTCGTCCAGCTAACTTCAGAGGCAGATTTAAATTCAAATAATACATGTGACTGCTGGAGAGAGAGGCTAGAGAAGTGGGGATTTAAATAAGATAAAAGTCACATGTTCTCTTAAGAGAAAGAGAGCTGTTGGGAGCTGTCACTATCTCTTCCTTGCTGCAGAAACTCTCTTGGCTTCTTCCTCATGCTTNATACATGTGACTGCTGGAGAGAGAGGCTAGAGAAGTGGGGATTTAAATAAGATAAAAGTCACATGTTCTCTTAAGAGAAAGAGAGCTGTTGGGAGCTGTCACTATCTCTTCCTTGCTGCAGAAACTCTCTTGGCTTCTTCCTCATGCTTAGTTTATTCATTTCCTAGTTATGAATTGTTTATTCAGCCTTTGTCTTGTTTCTGCTGCTGTAAACCCTAAGGAACTCCTCTATAAATAAAGAGGCAGCCTCATTGTAATGAATACACAAGAAATAAGTGACAAGCTTTATAAATTTCGTGTATCACTCATCTACCCTACTAAGTGTTCTTTAAATTAGTCACAATGTAGGGAGTTAAGGTATACATGTTTTGGGTCTGCCTAAGGGCAGATCATTGCTTGCCCATTCACTCTAAATCACCTTTAAACTCTTCATTATGTTCTGTTCATCTCTAGCTTACTGATTCTAATTCCTTGTAGCTTAAGTACACAAACCATCAGTGTTGTGATACTCCACAAGGATAGATTCATACTAGAGTTTAATCTGTTCTTAGTTTAATTATAGTTATTGTATCAATCTCACAGCCACTTAATCTCTCTAGATTCAGATGGTTGTGTAGATTATTTTGCTGAGAGAATTCAATCACAAGTTGATTGTCTCTTCCATTCTTAAAGAGTGAGTTCATGTTCTTAGCTATTCATAGCTTTTCTAACACCATATAGGGAAGTAGCTAAGTAGCCTGACGTACCTGGAAATAAAAGTTTCATAAGAGTGACTTTGGAATCTGTGAGCTCATGTAGTTTGAGGAGACTCCTCCTAGAAGCCGGAAACCGGGTCATGAATGCGGCTAGGGACATGCTCGAACAAACGAGTTTTCTATGTGGTAGGTATGAGAGGAAAACATTTATTTCTACTGATATGAGTCTTCTCTGATATTTTTTTAATAACATGGTAACAATAGACAAACCAATCTCAGAGATAGAGACAAACGCAGAGAAAATCTGCATGATATCTGCACTATGTTACTGGAATATTAGGGCATGTTTGTATGGGTTTAAGCTTCCTCAAAACTGCGTTCTGACACTTTTCGTTGCTGGCACTTTTCGAATTTTCCTAATATGTTTTAGCATACACTACTGGTTTGTTTCTGAGCTAAAAAAATATTGCTTAAAGATTAAAGTTTTTTCCCTACAAGGCATGTAATTTATTATGGTTTCTGTTGTTGCAGGTACCTAGGACATTGTATTAGTTACATTTTTGTAGCATCGGTTCTATCAGGCGCTGCTGTTTCCCGTCATCTGTCGATAACAGACCCATCAGCTGCAAGAAGATATGCCTTACAGAGCACAGTGATCCAAGCTTAGGTTTACGTAGTAGCTCATGTCGTTATGAGGTCCAAGAGCCTGAAGCAGGAACCTCTTATTTAGTTTCTGATCCGAATAACACTCTGGTCGTTAGTTCAAGCAGTCGTATTGATAGCCAAGATTATGAATCTAGCACATCGAATTCTGCAAACTTAGCAGATTTTGGATTTGAATCTGGTTCTTGCTTTTCAGGATCAGTTAAACGATCCTAGGATAGCCTCAATGCTTAAAAAGAAAGCGAAAGTAGGTGATGTTGAACTGACTAATTTATTGCAAGACAAGGGGCTGGACCCTGACTTTGTTGTTATGTTGAAGGAGAAAAAATTGGATCCAAGCATATTGGCATTACTTCAGAAGAGTAGTTAGGATGCAGATAGAGATCACCGCGACAAACCTTAACAGGTTACCCACCCGTTCTCGCCTGTTTTCATGGGGTCTACAGGTACAAATGGAATGTTGTGTCTGCAACTCTGACATTGAAAATCGTGATTATCTCATGCTCACATTGAATTATGCTACAGTTTTATGGTCCGCAGTGCGGCGTCACCTTCGAGTTTCTGTCCCATCATTCACTGTTTGGACAGAAATTCACTGGACTACTTCTTCAAACTCTTCAGCTCCTGCAAACCTTAGAATGATGGTTGTTCAAGCAATAATCTACAGCATATGGCACCAGAGGAACAATAACCTCCATAACCAGATTCAGTTGCCTCCTTTGGTTGTTTTCAAGCAAGTCACAATCATCAATTTCATATGTGCGCTGAGACACAGAAAAAAGTTCAGGTCTCTCCTGCAGATTTCGCTGTTATAGTTATGCTCATAAACATGGCACTATATCTTGGGGTTTTCTCTATACGAGCCCCTGTTTTTACCTCTTAGTGATGCCCTGTTTTTTACTTTCTTTTTTCCAGAGTTTCTTTTGTAAAGGATAACTACTTTTGTATGTCTCTTATATATTCCATTTTCCAACTTTCTGAATAAACACAATTTGATATTAAAAGGCAATTGTGCTAAACCAGTTAAAAAGATTGATAACAACATTTTATCCTCTTAAGATAATTATAATTTATATTTTAAAAATGAAGATACAGAAATACTGAATTCAAAAATTATATTTCAACTTTCAGAAAATTTTTTTTAAAAACTAAAATATTATAACTTTCAAATAAAAACACAACTTGACAAATATTAGGTTTCAAATATTTTGTGACATACACATACACATTCAGATGCTACAAAAATTTAACTAAATTTCTAAATAGAACAATATACTCTTTACATGTTAGAGTCTTTAGTGAAATATATTATATATATATACATACAAAAATATATAATCTGATTAAATTTATAAAAAAATTATTATTCACATTAACTTTTCCATACAATAAATATTTTCTAAGGAAACATATTTGGTTTGAATTGATAAATCATATACATAAAAAGGAAATAGGGACCAAAACACAAAAATAATAATAAAAGTTACAAAAATGCATACATTTAGATACGGCTTTAGATAACATATCACTTATTAAAAATATTATTAAAAAATATACTATCAATTATTAATCCTTAAAATATAATTATTCATTTTTGTCATGGAAATCATTGCAAATATACAAACCATAATTAACAAAATAAATTAATATAATAATATCTAAAAAATCATAAGTTATTATATTAATCAAACCAAGTTATGATTATCTATTTTATTATTAAATGTAATATAATGTAAAATAATTTAAAATATCAAAAAGCCAAAATGCAGAAAATATTATATATTATCCGCGCGTAGCGCGGACAAAGAATCTAGTCCTATATAAAAGATCTATTTATTCATGAATAACACATCAATTCCTCTTTTCTCTTGTCTTATATTCTTTCCTTACAACATGTTATCAACACGAGATCCTAGCCACTGAATATAATATAATTCAAAACCCTAGTAGGCATCGTCTCCTCTCCGAGCCTTATTTTCTATCGAGCTAAGTATCACTAGTGCTTTAACCAAATCATAATTTGTTTATGCTTTTCGTGCTTTAATACATACTAGGATAAGACCTGCGCTTTGCGAAGAGTGAATATATGTAATTAAAATATAAAATTTTAGTATTGACGAATTTAAAATTTAAATATGATTGTTTTTATATGTATTTGAAATTTTAGAATTTTGGAAGTTTTATATAATTATCTATATGTAGGATCAAAAAAAATTGTAATTAGAACTGTAGATCAAAGCTTAGAATTTAATGGACCCGACTTCATATATTTTTTTCACTTTTTAGTGTTCGAGTGATGGAAAATAAATGGAGTGTCACTGGACTTGACTGGTAGAGTATTAGAGCATCTTTAATCCAAAGGGTGCTTAATATTAACTTTTTTTTTTAAACCTTTTTTCTCACTAAAAAAAAATTATAAAACAAACCAATCACAGGCCACCATGTGTCAGTGGGGCCCGTGAACAGTGTAAACAACCAACATAAATCAGTGCTTATTTAGGCATTTTAAGCAGCTGGTTTTAGGGATTTTTGTGGGGCCTACTCTAAGAACTTCACTAACCTTGCATTGATAAGGCTCTTAGCAAGTTCTTTAATGCTTTCTTGAGAAGCAGTTTGTAAAATATTTGCATTTAAAATATATAAGTTTCAAAACTAATTTAATATAATTTATTTATTTGTCTAATAATATTAGAAAATTATATTTTTTACAATTTAAAAAAATATAATTTTAGAAAAAATTAAGTTAAATTTTAAATTATTGTTAAAAACAATATTTTAAGTTTTTCAGATACAAATAAACAATTTAAAGTTAGTTATGGTCATGATTTAACATAACCATGATGATTTAAAAAAATAAAAAATTTAAAAATTAACAAATTAAACATTAACTCAGTTTTATATGGTTATGAGAAGTTTACGTTCACGTGTCAATCCTATTTATCTTCGTTTTTTCTCTTGTTGTGTTTTTTATTTATTTTGGTTATTACTCGATATAAATAACTATTTTGAAGTTTATTCTCATTTCGTTTGTTTGTTTTGACCTGGGATTTAGAAAATACTTAAGATTTAAAATAATTAAAGAGATACATACTTAGGTTAAGATCTGCACTTAATGCACAATAAATATTTTATATTTTATATTTTTTTGCATATTATAAAATAATAAATATATATATTAAATAACTAAGAAATCAGTTACTATTATGTAATAAATTGGCGTATGCATATAAATTTAACTATCACTCTTGTTTATTCGCAATAAGGGTAAATAAATCAAAATAATCAATCTTATATATTGTATATGATATATTATTAAATTTAAATGATATAAACATATTAATATAGCACACTTTTAATATGGATATTTATTAAATGAGGTTTCTACTCAGATGATTTTATGATTATTTGCATATTTGTGTAACAAAACTTTACACCAACGAATTTTTTTTTTAATTTGAGATGTTTAGTAGTTTCAATAATTTATAATTATTTAAAAAAATTGACATATTTCAAAATTAAAATATTAACTTTTCAATATGTGTTCAATGCAAATATCAAAATATAAGTATGTATTTTCATACGATGTATAGTTAATTTAAAACGATATGAAGTATATATAAATTAAACTTATTTCTTCATATGGTCTTATAATCATTATATTTTAATATAGAAAAAAAAATTAAAACCTTGATCCTAAAATTTTATATGAGACTTTTAACAGTTTTAGTAATTTATACTCATTTTAAAAAATTCGAAATACAACATACACAAAAAAATCTAGATTTTTATTATATGATTAATGTAATTGTGTAATTTATTTTAATAATAAAGAAATAAACAAAATGAGAAAAAGTATACAGATTATTATCAAATCTTTATTGTTTAAAATCATTAATTGTCATATATATATATATATATATTAATCACATTAGGTAATTCTGTAGGTTTTATTTAAGGAAAGCATGCGAAACAATAAATATTTGATATATGCGACCTACTATAGCCTACGAAATATTATATTGCTAGAGAATATAAATTTTAAACTATACATTATATCACATGCTCTAGAATCCTTGGGATTTGAAATAGAGGCCAAAAAGCTATGCCACATAGGATTGAGGTTATTTTTAATTATTACAAACTTAAGGATACAACTTTTTAAATGATTCTCAATTCATATATAGGGGATACGTGACATACGTATGTTTACTTAAGATGTGATTTAACATGTTTGAATATGAAATCGAGTCATGCTTGGCTGAATGTATCAATCTTTTTTTTATAATACTAGGGTCGACCCGTCCTACGGGCGGGATATTCTTTAAGGAAAAGGTATGTTTATAATTTTGTAATTTTTTTTGTGGTTTGTATTATATGTTTCAGTTGGAAATTTTTGTTAGTATGTTTGTATTTGGTAGGTTTAATAATTTTGGAGATGTGGAATTATATATTTATCATAATTTATTTTGGTTTGGAATTAGATGTAATTTTTTTGTGGGTTGTAATAGATGTGTTATATTTTTTTTTTGAACTGCTTTAAGCCACCAAAATATAAGGGGACGGCACTGGGTCTAATGGCCGTCTCTGAGAGTACGATGCCGTGTGAATTCGATGAGATTTATTGGTGTCTTAAGAGCGAGTACCAAGTCATATGAGAATCATCTACCAAAGTATGTTAGAAACAGTGGAAGATATACGATAATATTATCATATAAGATATGTTATCCGATATACTTGTGCAGTTGCTTGTGTTGTAAATTAAGCATTTACCGTTAGCGCATGTGTCCGACATTACGTGGGCTATTATGATGTTGGGCTTTTATGGTGTAAGTTAAAAAAAAAAAATTTAGCTGTGGCATTTTAACTCTTGAAAAAAGTAATTGTTGTTTAACAATTTGACTCTTTTTAATTTCTTTTTTATTTTTATTTTTTAAAATACGTTCCATAATGGTAATAATAATTATTTTTTAGATAATGTTATTCATCCATTATGTGTTTTTTGGTTTCTATACCTGCTGGTATATAGATTATGTCATTTTTTTTAAAACACATTTAAAAATGTTATTTTATTATTGAATGGTAAAAGCTGTTATTTTGAATGGTGGCACTATTTAATCACAACTATATGCATATTTATATATTTTTGTAAGGATCATCGATTATAGATCCTCACGCTTAACATATACTTCCGACTAAATAGCATTGCATTATTTTCA